GTCCTCGGGCTAAGTGGGTAGATTCCAGCGGTCCCGCCCACACGGGGCTGGGCGTTGCTGCCGGGAGTTCGCTGCAGCGAAGGAGGGCCTCGAGGCTCTTGGGTTGAGATCTTGGTTGCAGATGCTCGGCAGAAAACGAGTCTAGCGCTTTCTTGCGAAGTGGGAAACCGAGTAGCTTTTTCCTCCTCGAGTTGCTGCTTCTCTGTCAAGTTGGCAAAATTCACTGCACAGTCAAGTTGGAGAGGGCAAGGTTTGTGGTCGTCAGCAGTTCTGTGTCCTGCTTTGTATTTACTATTGTTTTCCTGCAAATGTATGTTGTCCTCTGTGTGCTCACTGCCACGTTCCTTTTGCCTCCTAGGTATTTACAATATGGACTAAACCCAAGCCCAGAAAATCTAGTAGAGGTCTCTATACTGGCTGTTGGTTCTTTTTAAAAAGAAAGAAAAAGAATTAAGTTTTTAGTAGCTTCTAATTTACATCTAAATTTTCATGACAAGATGAAATGACAGTAAGCCCCACCAACCCCTTCTCAGGTGATTCTCTTGATGGGTTTTAGGAGATTCGGAGGCCTTAAAATTACATGCAAAGTTCTGTGAGCATATGTATTTCCTTAAATTCATTAGCCTTTATCATATGTCAAATGGGGTTAAAACTCAAATAAGATTTAAAACACCAACACTTTTAGAAGAACTCATAGGTCAAGCCCCTAACTCCTACTTGGAGTTGAATTGTAGTGCAAATTCCCACTTATCCAGTGTTTCTAAGTGTATGTTTTGACAGCAGTCTACATGAATTACCAAATTTCAAGTTATAAAAAAATAAAATAAAATGTCATACGAAACATCATTTTCCTCTGAAGATCCAGATGACACTTTAGAATCTTTCGCATGCCTCTGGTGCAAGAGCACCAACTGCTTTTGGGATCCAGGGCAGTCCTTCTCTTTTTAATACCCGCAATATTCCTGCAGAGCTGCAGCCCTGGGAGTCAGGTTAGGAAACCTGGATCAGGATCTCATAGTTCCCTAGACCCAGAATATTCAATAACCAGGAGAATGGAGAAAGTTTCCTGAAGGTTGCTTCCTTAATCCCAAATAACTTAATCCACTCGGTTTGGGAATAGTTTATTTGTTGTTTTTACCTTTAGTTTGTTACATTGCCTGAAATTCTACCAATGGGAGATGGAAATCAATGAAGCAAATATTTCAAAAATGCAGTCACTCTTTAGTATAGATTTTGTACATGAGATTCCATTTAAGGAATGAGGATAGATGTTTTCAAAACAAGATGAGGCAAGAGCATGGATTTTTTGGGGGGTATTTACAGTGAACTTTGTCAGGAAAAGACGTAGTTCTGCACCCCAATTTATTTTTACTCTTTTGTATGCTGAGTACCTAGGGAGAGTAATGAGAGGACAACAAAAACTACAGGGTGCTTTTAAGATACATCCTTAAATTCTGTGATATGCTTCCCATCAGTAGGTAGAGCTTAATTCCCGCTCCCATTGAATGTGGGCTGCTCTTAATGAATAGCTTGTGGCCCATAATGAACAGAATATGGCAGAAGTATCAGTGTGTGACTTATAAGATGAGGTCATAAAAGGCACTGCAGCTGCCTTCTTGTTCTCACTCTTGGATCACTGGTACTGGGGGAAGTCAGAGCTACCACATCATGAGGAACTCAAGTAGACCCATGGAAAGGCCTGTGTGATGAGGGACTGAGGCCTCCTGCCAACAGCCAGATGAGTGACTCATATTATAAGTGGATCCTCCAGCCCCAGGAGAGCCTTCAGGTGACTGCAGCCTGGGTAATGCTGACTGAAACCTCGTGAAAGATCCTGAGCAGAACCACCCAGGTAAGCCACTCCCAGATCACCCACACAGAGACTGTGAAGTAATGAATGTTTATTATTTTAATACAGTAAGTTATGGGGTAATTTGTTATGCAGCAATAGATAACTAATATACTCTATATCATCTTTCCTCTGTACCAGGAAAGACACTTACTATTTTATCTCACGGGCTCTTGTTCCTAGGCCCGCCTTAGGCTAGTGGCAGGAGTTCTATCATTGAACTTTAAAATGGGCTTACTAAATAGACTTCTGTGAATAGTCTTGGAATGTAACCACCATTTTCAACCTTATGTGTACGTATTCAGAGTTTATAACAATAGACAAACTTTTGAAACATAATTCATTTATAATCTGAGTACTGCCTGCAATTCTGCTAGCTCAATATGCCATTCTTTTATAAAAGACTTCATACTTCCTAGTTGTAGAATGAAGAGCTTTTTCGTGTGGGCAAATGGAACAAGTCTTGCCAACCACTTAGCATTTCTTTTAATCAGGTAACCCATAATGCACAGATTGTTTAGGTAATAGCAGAGGCCTGTCAGTTCATTTGCACGACGCGTATCTTGGGGCAGTTTACTGGAAGAGACACAAAATATCCTGTGTCAAAACCTGTTTTCTGGCCCCAGTAGCTCTTGGAACAAATGACAGTGCTAAAAATAATACTACAGTTAACATTTACTTAAGACTTGTTTATGTGCCAGGCATTTTGCAAGGGACCTGATTTACCTTAGCTCGTTTAATCCTTACAACATCACTCTGAAGAAGGTAGTGATTCAAAGCATAGGTCTTGGAGTCAGACTGCTTGTATATGAGTCCTGGCTTCACCATTAAGTGTCATATAATCTCTGTGAACTATTTAACTTCTTCATGCTTCAGTTTCTTACCTGTGAAATGGGGATGAGAATGGTGCCTTCACAGGGCCTGTCAGTTGATGATGAGGATGAATGCATGTAAAGCACGTAAAACTTAGCCTACGAAGTTCCTAGCACATTGTCAGTGCTCAGTCAATGTCAGCTATTGCTGTTTTTTTAAGTAGATGGAACATGGAGTCTCAGAGAGGTTAAGTAAGTTGGCCACAGTTGTGCAGCTAGCAAACACAGCAGGAACTCAACTCCAGGTCACTTTGGTTTCAGAGCTCAAGCTCTTAACCATTACTTTATGCTGCCCCTCTTGGTTTCTTTCTGCACATAAATGGCATGATCTGCAGAAAAGCATCTAGACTTCTTGGGGCATGCTAGGAGAGATCTCCGTTTCATATACCAGAGATCTGCCAGCCTCTTGAGACCTCAGCATCATCCTGTGAAATCCCTCTTAGAAATGAAGGGGAAAAAAGTGGTAAAGTTTAAAAAAACTGAAATATGGGAAAAGGTGCTTCGTCTACTTGGTTGACAAGTTCAAATGCTGTATATTCCCCAACCCAAGAATGCCTTTCTCCGTTGGAGTAGGTGATTGTTGGAGGTTCCCATAGGATGTTTTTGGAGTGTGTTCCCTCATCTTTTTCAGGAAGGGATGAAAGCTAAATGGATGTGTATCAACAAGGGTTAGTACTGTGAGACCCAACTATGGTGAGTGTAATGATTTCTTCTTTCTATCGATTATGCTGGTAACAGAGTGGCTGGAGATTCAGTTTAACCTCTCCTCTAGGGAAAGAGAAGAAAGACCAGAAATAGATTGCCCAAGGACAGGTGGTTGCCTTCTTGGACAGGGAAGGGATCAAAGAGAAGATCCCTGGCCCTGGAGACCATCTACCCTGTCACCAACCTGTGAGTCAAAACCTACACTCAATCAAATTCATTGTTTTCCTGCTTTTTTTTAAATAT